AGGAAAAAGAATAAACATACTCAAAGCTGTAATTTAAATTTTCCATTTTCCTCCAGCCCTCTTAACACAATTATTGTCAAACTTGAAATAGTCAGGGCTCAACTACAAACCTCAAATTTTGCAAAAAGCCTACAATGCAAGGGTGGGGAGAAGTAGCTGAAAATCATTTTGGTAGAAATCCAGTTCCACTGGATGAGCATTAAACACTTTGAGGTGTATTAAATTTACAATATACCCACGGTGAGAGAACATTGGACATCCGATCGCCTTGAACACCAAGGACTGAAGTAACCGTGTGAAGCCCCTATCCCAAAATGCTTCCGTTCCTAGCAGTGTACATGGAGGAGTTACTGAGGAAGGACTGAAAAAGTGAGTCCTAAAGAAATATCAAAGGAAAACTTTAGTACAGAACCACTTGGATATAGAAGATGAAGATGAGGTAGACATCACAGATGACCAAAAAATGGCAACTCTATGTACCAATAGCTCAAGCCCCAAATGCTAGGGTCATCCTTGACCCATCTTGTGTCTTGACCCAGGGACAAGATCCAAGGTTTGTGGGGCCTGAAACGTGTGCAGTGAGGCTCTTTAAAAAAGGAAAAGCATTATTTGGGGGGCAAACTTTTGAAAAACATGTGCTGCTTAAAGTACCCTGAGGGGTTCAGGAGTCGCAGTAATTTCCCCTCTGCCCACACTGCCTTCCTGTTGGTTCTGCCTTCAATACATGTCAAGAACCCATCCTCTTTTCCTCCTCTCCACCTGCCCTTCTGGACCCAACTACCTTCATTTCTTGTCTGAACTCCTGAAATAGCCTTCCATCCTTCTGGTCTTCTTGCATCTTTCCTTGTGTCTTGACACTCTGCTCGTCCCACAACAGGCAAATTAGATCATGTCCTTGGTTGGCTCAAAACACTCCGAACTTCTCTACTCGCAGTAACAGAGAAAAGTTCTTACTATGCCTTCTGCAGTCCTGCTCTATCTGTCCTCTGGGACCATGTTTCCTCCCACACTCTGCTCCTTACTCACCTTTCACCACCTGGTATTCCCTGATGTTTTTGGAACCTGCCAAACATGCCTGTGGGCCTTTGCAGTTGTTCTTCCTGAGTCCAGAATACTTTCCCCTCCACCCCCAATCCTTACTTCCTTCATGTCTGCATTTCATTGTCACCTTACCAGACCAGTGCCTTCCCAGATGCCTGCCTAGACCAATCACTATAGAACAGCACCCCTCCCCCCTCTGATCCTCCTTGCTAAGGATTTTTCTCCACAAGCATAACCTCTTGGGACACACATTTATTTGCTTGTTGTCTTAATCACCTCTTCTAGACTGGAAACTCTGTGACGATAGGGAGTTTACTTTATTCATTGCCGTGCCCCATTCTGAAAACAATGCTTCACACCTAATAGGCACTTCATAAATATGTGTAGAAAGAAGAAATTACCTAACCAGGGGAGTTAGGTTATTCATGATGATGGAGGAAGAGAGAAATTGTTTTCAGGGAGATGGTGCAATTCCTTCTGTTACCATAGGCAGAAAAAATTCTCCTCGTGTGCCTTCCCTATATCACTCTGAATGCTTAGGTTTAAAGTGACAGATTTCTTAACTTATGTATGACACTTTATGGATAAATACATATTTGTGGATGAAGTAGAAAATAAGCCTAGGAGTTACCCACCGGGAACAGGACCTTTTTTAAAACTTTCAGATCTGACTTTGCAAAATGCAAGAATTCTTCAATCAAGTTTTACTGTGTTTATCTTCCTTTCTTTTCATGTTCCAAATAGGCAAGAAAGCCATCACAGACTGCGGGGACAAACTTTCTCTCAAGTCTCATTTTCTCAGATGGTGGATATAAACCAGCTGGTCAT